GCGTCCAGCGGGATTGGCTCGTTGAGTGTCTGGAACTATTATCGGACACTCGAACTCCCGAACACCGCTGAGTCTTCCAGGACCACTTAGATTTGTGCACATTCATACGAAAGAGGCGGCGTTCGGTAAAAGCATTACACGAACGAGGCGGCACACAGCCATCAAAAGCACGAACACTGATGGGGATGGTTGTTTAATATGTTTGTCCCTAATTATGTCCGTTCAGAAAATATAATTAGATGTATAATTTTAATGTTTCAAAAAATGTGTAAAAAGTTAATTTTTTCGCTTGGAGATAATTGAGTTGATACAGTAATTAACTCAATTATCTCCCAAGCAGAGGGGAGAAATTTACAGTAATGAATGGGAGTGTTTAACTTTGTGACTGTAAACTATTGGCTGTTGAATTTATTTTTCGGTGCCCCACAAGGTCCACATGGGTGGTAACCTTGTAGGAAAAGTTGCATAAAAGGCCAGCCCGGCACATTAAACCTTCAGATCTGCTTAACCCTCAATACGTAGCCTCGACTCGTTATTGTAGGGGAACTGCATCCAGCTAATCCAGCCCCTATTATCCCGTGCACCCACCTCAGACTCTACAGGTTCTAAATGGGTGAGATAGAGTGCAGGTGGGCCTGAGATTGGTACAGGGGGCTGAGGTGTGTGCAGGGAGGGATGAAAGCTGAGGAGGGTGCAGTGGGGAATAGAAACTATTGTGGGTGAGGTGTGTACAGGGAGGGATAGAGACTGAGGTAGATGCAAGAAAGCATAGGGGCTGTGGTGGGTGCATGGGATCATGGGGCCTTTGGTAGGTGCACGGGAGACATGGGGGCTCTGATGGGTGCACAGGAGACATGGGGGTATAGATGCAGGGGGCCATAGAAGCTGTAGGCCTGAGGTGGGTGCACGGGATCATAGGGGCTGTGGCGTGTGCAGGGAGAAATGGGAGCTGAGGTGGGTGCAGGGGGACTATAGTAGCTACAGGGAGATATGAAGGCTGTGGTGGGTACAGGGGGGCCTGAGGTGCATGCCCAGGGGGGTCTCAGGTAGGTGCAGGAACTTGTGGGAATAAAACGTGTGGGAAAGGAGAGGAGGTTGCAGGAAGACATAGGGTCTGTGGTGGGTGCAGGAGGCCTGAGGTGAGTGCAGGGAGATATGGGGGCGGTAGTCGGTGCAATGGGGCTGAGGTGGGTGCAGGAATATATAGGGTGCAGGGGGGCTGAGGTGGGTGCAAGAAGGCTGCAGGTAGGCTGAGGTGGGTGCAGGGAAACATGAGGTGAGATGAGTGCGGCGGGTGTGGTCAGTGCAGGGGGCTAAGGTAGACATGGGGGTGTGGTGGTTGCAGGTAGACATGGGGGCTAAGATCAGTGCAGGGAAGAATGGGGGCTGTAGTGGATGCAAGAAGCCATAAGAATTGTGGTGGGTGCATGGAGGGCATAGTGACTGAGGTGGATGCAGGCAATGATGGGGGCTGTGGTTGGTACAGGGAGACATGGGGGCAGGTTAGGGCAGTGGGTCTGAGGTTAGTGCAGGAGGAAATGTGTCTGAATTAGTTGCAGGGAGACAGAGTGCTTTGATGCACAAACCTTATGCCTTCTTGCTTCCACTACAGCCCCTATTCCTCACAGCACTCACCTTAGCCCTCCTGCACCCACCACAGCCCCCATGTATCCCTTCATCCACCCCAGGCTCCTGCACCAACCACAGACAACTTGTGGGTGCAGGGGGGCTGTGTTGGGTTCAGGGGAGCCTAAGGAGCATGCAGGGGGGCTGAGGTTGGTGCAGGAAGGGGATGATATCGGTGTAGGGAGACATGGGGTGAGATAGATACAGTGGGTTTGAGGTGGGTGGATGTGGGCATGAGGTTAGTACAGGGGACTGAGGTAGGTGCAGGGGGACTGACAAGGGTGTAGGCGGGTTGTGGTGGGTGCAAGGAGACATGGGGGCTGAGGTAGGGGCAGGTGGGCTGGGGTGGGTGTAGAGAGCCATGGTGGGTGCAGGGAGACTGGGAGGTGGGTGCAGGGGGGCTGAGGTCAGTGAGTGTTAGGATATATAAATGTTGTGGTGGGCACAGGGAGCTGTGGTTGGTGCAGGTAGACATGGGGATTGATGTAGGTTCAGGGAGACTGAGGTGGGTGTAAGGGTGCTGTGGTGGGTGCAGACAAACATGTGTGGTGGGTCAGGGGGGCTGAGGTCAGTGATATTAGGGAGATATGGGGGCTGTGGAGGAGGCAGGCAGACATGGGGGCTGTGTAGGATGCAAGAAGACATAGGGGTTGTAGTGGTTGCAGAGAGGTCATAGTGACTGAATTCGGTGCAGGGAGACATGAGGGATAAGGTGGGTGCAGGGAGGGATGGGGGCTGATGAGGATGCAGGGGGGCATTGAAGCTGTTGTGGGCGAGTTGGGTACAGGAGGGCTGAAATGAATGCAGTTGGGCGGTGGTCAGTGCATCAGTGCAGGGGTTGAGGTGGGTGCATGAGGCTTTGGTGGGTGCAGGAAGAAATGTCTCTTAATTAGTTGCAGGGAGCCTTGGGCTGAGATGGGTGCAGGGGTGCTGTGGTAGGTGCAGGGTAATATGGGGGCTATGGTGCAGCAGGGGTGCTGGTGTGGGTTCAGGGGGGCCTAAGGAGGGTGCAGATGGGATGAGATTAGTGCAGGAAGATATGGGGTGAGGGGTTGACGTCGGTGCATGTGGGCCTTAGGTTAGTACAGGGGGGGCTGAGGTAGGTACAGTGGGGCTGAGGTAGGTGCAGGGGGCTGTGGTGGGTGCAGGGTGACATGGCTTACATTCACCCACCTCATCCCCACTGCATCTATCTCACCCCATGTCTCCATGCACCCACCTCAGCCCCACTGCACCCCCCCACAGCCCCTATATCTCCCTAAGCTGACTGAACCAGCCCCCTGCAACCACCTCCCATGTCTCCCTGCACCTACCATAGCCCCCTTACACCAACCGTACCCAATCTGCACCTACATCAGTCCCCATGTTCCCCTGCACCCACCACAGCATCCATATCTCCCAACACTCACCAACCTCATACCCCCTGAACCCACCTCCCAAAGCCCCCTGCACACAGCTCAGTCCCCCTGCAACTAACCTCAACCCCACTGCCTCGATCTCAGCTCATGTCTCCCTACACCCATCTCATCCCCCCTGCACCAACCTCAGCTCCTCCACCCGTTTTAGCTCACCCTGAACTCACCACAGCCTCCATATCTCCCTGCACCCACCACATCACCCCTGCACCCATCTCAGTGCCCCTTCCCCCACCTCAGCCCCATGACTCCCTGCAACTTATTCAGTCCCCTGCACCAACCTTAAACCCTTGCACATACCTCAGCCACCATGTTTTCCTTTAACCACCTCAGCCACTATCCCCAGCCTGTACCCAACCACAATTCTTATGCCTTCTTGCGCCCAGTACAGCCCCATTCCTCCCTGCACTGACCTTAGCCCACCTGCACCCACCAGAGCCCCCATGTCTCCCTTCACCTACCACAGCCCTCTGCACGCACGTCAGCCCACATGCACCCACCTCAACCCCACTGCCCCTATCTCACCCCATTTCCCCCTGCACCCATCTCAATCCCCCTGAAATCACCTAAGACCGCCCTGCACCCACAACAGCCCCCATATCTCCTTGCACCCATCTCACCCCCTGCACCCATCTTAGCACCCCTAGACCAGGTGGGACTTCAGAGCCACTCCCTTCCCTTTGGGCGTGCATAATTGCGTATGATGTAATCACACATAAATGTGGGCATCAAAGGCGTGTGCACGAGGTGTGCCCAGTGTGCCTGGGCACACGCTAATCCCCGCGGCACGCCTATGGAGCGAGACCGGCAGGGGAGATCTTAGGCTCTCCCGTCGGCTCATGCAAAGCCGGCGCTATCCGAGCGCCGGCTCTGCTCTAAGCCTCCCCTCACCGACCCACATGCAGTGAGGGAGGCAGGAGAGGAACCGGTGAGCTCTTGCAGGCAGCTCCGCCGAGTTCCTCTCGCGAGATCTGAGCATTGCCTGAATCCTCTTTCTACTACTGATATCTACTCCCTGGGGCTAGTGCTGGCCCCTGGTCCAGTTTATCACCTGGATCTTTACATCATTGAAAAGCGGTTTGTTTTTTCTCTTTTTGCAAATGACACAGAGTGTGGCCGGTCAAAAATTCTTGCACCGGCCCTGACTGCAAGGTACATGGAGTAACCACGAGCTAACAATGGATGAGAGGGGTGAGATCCAGAGTGACCATGACTCTGCTGTTCAATGTGACATATCATAATGTCCCGGTAATAGTTTTCATACTTCTGTGGGGATCATTCATTGAATTAATTTAGATGTGTCCTAATACAATTACGAGAAGCAGCAAGAATATAATCAATACGAGTACGATGATGGTGGTTCGGTGGTGTTGGGAACATTCCCACCCAAATCAGAACAAAAGAAAAGTTGACTTAAAAAATAAATAAATAAATAGAATACCATGACAAAAAAAGTTTTATATCTGCATTGCAACTCATTCTAAAATAGCCATTGTTTTTCATTTGTGTTATTGTCACACAGACTAACCCTCACGTCTTCTGCCATTTTCCCATTTGCCGTATTTATTGTTTTTCTTTCTTTTGAACTTCATCTTGTAACCTGTGCAACTGATTTAGAAACCACCTGATCCTTCATCCCTCAGTTACATAACATTCGGTTTCAATTACGATGAAAGATTCTACTAACTAGTTCCACTTGCTAGGGGTATAGTGTGAAGTAGCCAAAAAAACTATATACAAGTTTGGAGTATATACATTGCCATTTGGCTCTATTCTTTTTTTTTTTAAACCTAAAAGCTGTGATTTTGTCCCATAATGGAAAAATTACAAAATAAGGGATAGCAAAACATCTTTCACATCACTGGCTGTGTCAGCTTTGCCAGTCTTTCGTGCTACGTCAAGTTGGATTATTGCTAATAGGATTGGTCTTGCAGTGTGCATGTCTTGCAGAATAAAGGCAAAGTATATAGCTGAAGGAAGACAATGGATCCTTCTTGGCACCTTTTCTTGTTTCTGGTTCTGTTAGTCAAGACGAGCCTGGTGTCCTCTTCATGTGCCTCCGGATGTTCTTGTACTAATGACACATTTGGAAGGTAAGCAACAACATGATTTATGATAGACCTATGTAATGACACATTGCTTCGCATGGTATAAACGTTGTTGTGTAATGTTCCAAACAAATCATTTATTGAGATTTAATGTTATTACTTTGAAATGATTTTCACAATTTCTACCTTTAGAGTAAGCATTGTGTTAGAGAATATATAATACTATATGCCAAATATTATTTCTTGAATCTGCTGGATGCCAGACTTACATTTTACATGTAAGTGAAGCCTTCCCTTTGTTGCTTTAGTCGTTACACAAGAATAAATTCAATATATACATGGAGTAGCTAATGCACATAAAAAGGGCCAGAAATTTTTCAGATTACTTTACTTTCGGTAGTATTATTAATGTTTTACAGTATAATATATTGAAACATATAACATGGTACATGTCCAGCGCTACATAGTTAAACCCATAAATATGTCTCTTAATGTGTCCCTATAAGACACAGGCTGGAATAAAACAAGGGGCCACACTTATCCTATGTATTTTTTTAATGAGAATGTAACTTACCAATAATTAAATAAAATACGTTTAAATTAAATTTATTGTTAAACACCTGTCCCCTAAAAGAGACCCTGAGCAAAAAGAATTTATTTAAATAGACACTCCCGGTTCTAATTATTTTTGTTTCGGTTTACACATTATCGTACTTATAGCAGAACATTAATATTAACATTAAGGATGAATAGTTAGCTCCTATTTATTATCAAATACATCTTGTGTAATTTATGTTATTATTTCTCAATTAAATGGTAATTATTTTATTAATTTTAGAGGATGAAAAGCCTAGTAAGGTACTATAGGTGCTGTGGCTGGCGCACTAACCACTGAGCTATCTGCAAGCTGCATAGCTTTTTATAAAATATTGAATAAGACAACTCTATGCCTTTTTGGTTTCCACCACAGGTTACTGTACACCTGAGCTAAGGTGAATAGGAGGCTAATTGTTACTGTGTTGGGAAAAACAAACAATACAATGCTTTAAAATGAGAAGCATATTAATGTAGTTATGTTTAATTGTTAAGGGTATTTTACCACTCTACAACTGCCTTCTCCTTCCCCAACTGTTCCTCTTTGTCTACACCTCTCCCTCCCTAAGCTTCTCCCAGCTAACACCAATTATCGTATCTGCTTGATTTGCATAATTTATTGAAGGGAAAAAAAGGAAAAAAAGAAAAAGGTAAAAATGAATAAAAACAAACTGCACAGGGGTAACTACTTCCTGCACAGAGATTTCTTGACAATATATCTCCCCATAGATTTTCAGTGGGTGAATAAATGGCAGTGTAAGCATGCGCAAAATAACCCACTAGCAACATTAATGAAGCATTGGTGCTTCTCATTCATAGTTTTTTGTTTTGTTTTTCAAGAATGCCATGTAGCTTGTGGGTCAGTTTAGAAGTGTAAACACCATTATATGGTAAGAACAGCTAATCCTAAATCCCCATTAATCATAAAAAAAAAAATCACTAACTCTATTTTTTGCTGAAATGACACAGGCTAACTCTACATGGAGTAAAAGTGGTATCCATTGTTGTTATAGTACTTGGTACAGTAGTGGATTAGTAATAGCCAGGGAGAATTCAAAGATGTATATATAAACTACTGAAAGTACTAAGAATATTTTTCATTATCTAATGTTAACTTGTAAAGAACAGGTAATTTAAAAAAAAATCTCTTTTTTTTTTCTGAAGGAGTCTGCTTTGCATGTCCTCATCCCTTAGAAGAATACCAGATAACATTCCTAAAGACATCCGCAAAGTGAGAATAGAAAAGTGTCATCTGACCGAACTGTCTCGAGGATTACTTGGTGGCATCACATGTCTGGAATATCTATGGCTTAACTTTAACAATATCACTCTTATGCACCTGAAAAGTCTAGAAGATTTAAAGGATCTAAAAGAGCTTAGGCTGCAAGGAAACAATCTGCGGTCAGTTCCATGGACGGCCTTTCAAGATACACCCGTATTGAAAATCTTAGATTTAAAACATAACAGACTAGATGTCCTTCCGGAGCAAGCGTTAAAGTTTTTAGGCAACTTGACCTACTTAGATTTATCCTTCAATCAGCTTACCATCATCTCTAAAGACGTGTTTTCTAATTGGCCTCTTTACCAAACAGCACATAGATCAGAAGGAAGAGTGGAAACGTATTCCAATGCAGTTGTTGCTCTACATGAGAATCCTTGGATGTGTGACTGTCGACTCAGAGGTTTTGTCCATTTTGTAAAATCAGTCAGCCCCCCAATTATACTTATGAATTCCTACCTAGTATGTGTCAGCCCAGATTCAAAAGTAGGGAGATTCTTTCATGAAGTGGAGCTAAATAGCTGTATGAAGCCAATTACCTCAACAACAGTATCCAATTTTACTGTACAGGTGGGTCTGAATGCTACACTCATGTGTCTGGTTAAATCAGCTCCCACTCCTTCAATCTTGTGGACCCACGGACTAAAGACCAATAAAATATTTAATGGTAAGTATATCCATTGATCTCCCTAAATTCTACATTTTGTTTAAAGCAATTTATTACAATTTAGATTTTCCATTGATCAAGTTACTATAAGACCTCTTCCCTGAGAGCAGAGAATAATATTTTCCATAATTTTTTTAAAGTTCCTTGGGACATCCAATTAAAAGTAAACTCAATCCAAAATGTTGGACATTGTTATGTTATCTTTTTTGACATCAATTTGTTAATGCATTATAAAGAATATAAGTTATGAATATTAAACAGTTACGTCTTGGGGTAGCAACAAGCCCCCGGCACAAAACGTCCACGTCCTTCACCATTTCTTGTTTGTAGAAGTGGTCATGGAGAAAGAAATCTGTGTGTACAGCATTTCTGCTTGAAGCTCTGAATGCACATACAGAGATATCTGCAGTTTTGTGCTGGGGGCTTGTTGCAACCCCAAGTCTTGGGCAGCCAAGAACTCACATTGCAAGAGGAAGCCTATATATCTCAGCCTTCTTTCCTCCCTCCCCACTTCCCTGTAAAGTGAGTTATTTTTTTTTAAATTCAACTCCCTCTCTCCCTTGTCAATCAGTTCCATTGTTTGCAAGCTTATTTTTTTCTTTTTTTTTTTTTTTACATGCTTTCTTCATCGTAATAGTATCCACCACTTACATCAATGAAGAGACCATTAAATCAGAACTCATACTCCCAGTTGTGCACACATCCGAAGCAGGAATATACAACTGTATAGCTACAAACTTTTTGGGTAACTCTTCTACAGCAATATTTCTAAGTGTTTTGTCTCCCAAAGTAGCAGATACTTCTGCATTCATGTCCTACACTCCTTCCACATCTTCCTCAGAAGAAAATGTTTTCATAGATGTGAGGATTTCCAAACAGACAGTTTATGGAATTGCTTTGGAATGGTTTGCAGTAACAGAGAACCCAGCAGAAACATGGTATACCATCTATTTTGGCCTCTACGGAAACAAGGAGAAAGATGTAATTAATATTGGTCCTGGTATCTACACCTACTCTATAAATGATTTGTTGCCAACAACAAAATATGAAGTGTGTCTCACCCTGAAAAGTCAGCCTCCCAGGAAGGGCCAGTGTATTGTGTTCATGACCGGAAGTGACGTCAGCGAATTAGAACAAAGAGAGAAATTAATACATATTATTGTAATTGTGTGTGCAATGGTCCTTGCCGTACCTGCTGGCATGTATGCATGTACCACTGAAACAAGACTTAATTGTTTGGAGAAGTGTGTTGGACTTTGCCGACAAAAACGTAAAGTCCAAAAAAACCTGAAAAAGGATAATAATAATAAAGAGAGCACTTTTGACAGTTTGCAAGCTAGTAGTGAGGAAGGCTTGTGTCATCGAGAAGGCAATGAGGAGAATCGTAGAAGGAGATGTTCAGAAGATAAACCTAACAAGTCCAAACCAGAAAACAAAAATCCAGCAGAACTTTATTAACTTTGCAATAACTATGTATTGTCCAAAACTGATGTCAAAATAATATTGCATCAATTTTTGAAACATTCACCTATATGAAGAAGCGATGACGTTTTCACTTGTACAGGTGCTCTATAATTGCATAACATTAATGGTAAAGGAGATAACGAGGTAGGATAGTGCATGGGTAATGCACTATTAAAATTTTACTGCAGACTGTAACTTTTTAAACATATCATGCAATTTCATGTCTACTTTTTGTATGTTATTTGTATATATTTTTATTATTAACAAATATATTGTCCTTATTTTGTTTTACAGAGTTTGCGTTCCTGAATTCTGAGCGTTATTAATTTTACTCAGACTTTAGAAGGGTTCAGCATTTTTTCCAATTGCTGTAATAGTATAAAAAAAGCACATGTTTTGCAGCAATGCAGGCTACACTTATGTATATTCCTTGTATTGCAACTTAGCTATTTGTCTTTTACACCTCATTTCCATTCTTTGTCTTCTGCTTTCAACAATTAAGGCTAAAATAATGTGTTAAATTAATTAATAAATGGCATATGGAATCTAGATAAATAGCTCATTAAGGTCTATATTACCTATAAAGATATAGGACAGAGTTAAAGGAGCACAATAGTCACCAGAACAACAACAGACAAATGTAATGGCTCTAGTGTCTATAGCCTGTGCCTGCAAGATTTTCGATATTTACATTGATGCCTAGTAACACCTCTAGTGGAAATCACTCAGACAGCCACTATGGGTGCTTCCTAGTCCAGTGATGCACAGTGTGCAGCACCAGCATTCAGCTACTCCATGCTCATAGAGAGGCTGAATGTTCCTCATAGAGATGCACTGTTTCAATGCATCTCTATGAGGACATGCTGATTGGTGCAGTGAGTTTTTTTGCCACACATGCACAATTGCCTCCCAATGCTTAACCATGGGGAAAGCATTGGATTGGCTGAGATCATTAAGTTTGAGGATCTGAGCTTGACAGAGCAGCTGTGGCAACCTCTTCACTGCTCTGACAGGGGTACCAGGGACCTAAACAGCCACACAAGCACTATAGTGTCCAGAATACATGTCTGTTTTCCTGACACTACAGTGTTCTTTTAAGGTTCCTATCTATTCCACACACTTGCAAGAATATTCACTAAAGTGAAAATTCAAAGTTAATTTGAATTTCAGGCCATAATAGTAAAATTCTCTAAATCAGCTAGGCTTCCAGTTCAGCTACCTTAGTCTTAGTTTTGAAATTCCCTGTGAATGCCCTTTGAATTCCCACTTCCGTAAATAACCCTATTAATATCAGCTTCTCCGAAAATATATGATAGAATTGAGCTCCTCTTTAGGGATTACACACCACCTATTGCTGTATCTGGAGAACGTTCCCATCTGTATGTACAGGTAAATAGCACAGAGAGCAGTCTATTAAGGGCCTGTCATTTTTTCTGTCACAACTATCCAGGTTCTCACATTCCTTAGCTAGTCAAATTCTGCCCACTCCTTTGAATAATAAAATACCTCTAATGGAAAATGGGCATTACCGACCAAGAACAGTTGAACATTTTGCCACACCCAAAATGATGACCAAGCATCAACTGAATTTGCCACTATAAAAGCTGTCTTCACTGCCCTATTGTGGGTTATTTCCCTTTAGCATGTTGACTCTTTAGTCACCTTGTCTATAAGACCTGGTTAATTGTCATTGACCCTGGTCTCTACTTTTCTTCATCTGATTGTCCTGCTTATCTCTGGTGCCATAGACCTTGGCTTTCAATTTGACTACTCTATACAACCCTAAGGTCTGTTTTTTATTACTGTAAGTGAAACTACACTAAAGATCAGTTCAATGCTCTGTCCTCTTCCATACTTTATTAAGTGACCTTTTAACAGAGTGTTGAATCTTGTTTCATCAGTTGTTCATCATACAGTGAATAACAGATGCAGGAGTTTGGGGAGTCTACCATGGTAAATGGGGTGATTTTGAGCCTCATTGCATCAACACATCTATATAAAATGTCCACATTTGTGTTCGTTATGGAATCGCACATCAGAGTTTTGAACCTAGTGGCAGGGATTTAATAGACTAATATTGCACCCTATTATAAATGTTATTTTCTACCTGTCACCTTCAGACATTTGAAAACCCAATATAAATGTAGACAGTCTTTGTTAACTTGTTTTTTCTTTTTACTCTTATTAACATTTATCCACTCCTGTGCTTTATACAGTGCATTTAAAAAATATTCACAAAGTTATTTTTATGGGTTTTTTTTTATGTTGCAGCCTTATGTTACATCAAACCACACTAAAAACACAATAATGACAAAGCAAATCCAGATTTTGAAAAATTTGCTAATACGTTAAAAAGAAAAAAAAGAAAATATCTAATTAAATAAGTATACAGACCCTTTGCTATGACATATATAGCTCAGATACAGTATCTCACAAAAGTGAGTACACCCCTCACATTTCTGTAAATATTTTATTATATCTGCTACTTTGCTACAATGTAAAGTAGCCAGTATAACAGTGTAAATTTGTTGTCCCCTCAAAATAACTCAACAGACAGCCATTAATGTCTAAACTGTTGGCAACAAAAGTGAGTACACCCCAAAGTGGAAATGTCCAATTTGGGCCCAAAGTGTCAATACTTTGTGTGGCCACCATTATTTTCCAGCACTGCCTGAACCCTCATGGGCATGGAGTTCACCAGAGCTTCACAGGTTGCCACTGGAGTCCTCTCCCACTCCTCCATGATGACATCACGGAACTGGTGGATGTTAGAGACCTTGTGCTCCCCCACCTTCCATTTGAGGATGCCCCACAGATGCTCAATAGAGTTTAGGTGTGGAGACATGCTTGGCCAGTCCATCACCTTTACCTTCAGCTTCTTTAGCAAGGCAGTGATCGAGGTGTGTTTGGGGTTGTTATGTTGGAATACTGCCCTGTGGCCCAGTCTCCAAAAGGAAGGGATCAGTCACCATTAAAATTTAAGGGAATTTTGAAAAGATTTTCTAACCTGTTCACCTGTGGCAAATTCAATTGATTGGACATGATCTGTGAGGGCACATCTCTCTATGGCCTCAATTTCATATTTGTACATAAGCTTTTCAAAGGATTCATTATGTTTAGATAAACTTTTTTTTAAAAATGTATCGATAGAAGCCATCATTAATGTATATGGGGATATTTTCAGATATATAAAAGTTTTTCTAACAGAATTGAATTGTTTGAAAGGTTTATCTGAAAATATTAAATCGAGGACCATATAAAGTCTCACAGCTGTAAATGCATATCAGATCAAAAACAAAGCCATGATGTAAAGGAGCTGCTTGCAGAGCACTTTGACAGCATGGTGTCGTAGCACATATATGGGTAAGACTAGAAAAATTTAAATGCATTAAGGTTTTCAAGACCACAATGGCCTCCATAATTCTTAAATGGAAGAGGTTTGGAACAACCAAGTCTCTTCCAAGAACTGAGTAATCATGGAGAAGAGACTTGGTAAGACAGGTGACCAAGAACTCAATGATCACTCTGGATGCACTCCAAAGATCATATGTGGAGATGGGACAAACTTGCTAAAGGACAATTACCAATGAAGCACTTCATTGATCTTGCTTTTATGGCAGCCTAACCAGATGGATCTTTCTCACTTCAAGGCACATGAAAAGCTTGCTTGTCTAGTAGCATCATGCTTTGGGGTGTTTTTCCACAGCTGGGACTGGGAAACTGGTCATGGTTGATGGAAAGCTGAACACAGCAAAAAAAAGAGATAACAAGAAAAAGGAAACTCAAAAGGCTGGAAAGTGGGAGGGGAGGAAAAGACACTCCCGTATCCCAATGCCGAGCCTCCAGAGTATAGAGGTCACCTGGACTGGTAAAAGGGGGTAACCCTGGAAATTGTAGAAAAAAGGAAGAAAAAAAACCCAAAAAGGGATGTCTTATATAAAGACCGCCCAGAGGGTAAATACCCAGTCCAATCTCAACAGTAGTGTAGTTGCCAAAAAATAAAAAAGCCTTTATTGAAATCTATTAAAAAACCTGGGTAATCAGTGATGGACAGAATAATATAGGGAGAAATATGTATGGTAGGAACAAGGCTAATCAAGAGCCAACCCTCACAAGAAACGGAGAGGGGATAGAAGGCAATATGTACCCCCATACATAACTCAGGTAACAAAGCAGTAGGAAAGAACAGGGAAAGGGAGAAACACACACTCCCAACCAAACAGTAGTGCTATGCTAATACCCTATCTCCTATAAAACACCTTCGTGGGTGTTCTAATCTAAATGCTGTCATAACATCTGAAGCCCCAGGTTACACACACATACTAGAAAAACATAAATGAAAAGGTGCTCAGAGCAAAGTGCTCAAGAGAGTATTAAAAACACAGAAGAACCCGACGTACGTTTCGGCGTGACCACACGCCGTCCTCAGGGGTATCAGCAGTGAGCAAAAAACTGTCCGGGTGGTAAATTTATACCTTAAGCTCATAAGCTTTATTGTAATCACCTGTGATTGTGTCTAAATTGCTCCGGTCCTCCTGTGAATGGGGCTGTGGGGGTGTGGTGTAACACACCATAGTGTCAGCCCACATTTCTATGTCAGAGGTAGCCAGAACAGAAATCAGGTGAAAGGCAATTAACCCTTTGAGTGCCCCGCCTGGAACAGATATAAATGGATACTTACTATATCTAAAAGGCAGTATCCATAGCTTAACAGTTAACCCTTGGAATGTCCAAATTGTATCATATAGGTCAAGTGTGTGGATTGATTCTTATGGCTGTATTGTGTAGCTTTAGTACAATTAAAGAAACAACTTATAACCGTTGTGAACCAGTAAGGGATAAGTACAATGGCTATATGGGCAGTCATACACAGAAGCCGACAATTCTTTTATTGCCACTGTAAATAGTAACCCATTAGTTTATGCAACACAAAACAGACCCCTAAACTCTTAGACCTATAATACAGGTAAAATTAATGGACATATGAACACCAAATATAATAGAAATAAATAAAGAATATATACATATATACAGACATAACTTAAGATACCATTTATTATCAGAATTATTGCAGTACTTTAAATAAACGGGGAATATGAAAACCCTTCATTTAGCCCCAGGGGAGATAGCGTTTTGAGATGGTAAATCCAAAACGCCTCTCTTTGTCTTAGTTTTAGGTCCCAGTTTCCTTTCCTAGGAGGCTGTGGTACATGTTCAAGACCCATGAACCGGATGCCTGCCGAGGAGTGATTGTGATGTAGATGTAAATGCCTTGAGGATGTTTCCAAACGTCTCTTGACAGAATTTACATGTTCACGTATCCTTAGCCTGAAGTGGCGAAAAGTCTTGCCTACATATTTTAGGCCACAGGAGCAAGACAGTAGGTAAACTACTCCTGTTGTGTTACAATTAAAGAAGGAACGTGGTTTGAAATTCATTAAGCCCTTGCTGTCAGAGGCCCTCTTGGTAATAAACGGGCATGCACTGCAGTGACCACATTGGAAAGAACCCATTGGTAGGTATTTTTGAAAATAACCTGACGGGGACGTAGTTGAGAGGTGACTAGGTGCTAGGATATCTCTCAAGTTTTTGCCCCTCCGTGCTGTAATTGAAGGGAGTGATGGCAGAATTTCCTTCAGATGCTTATCTGATTGGAGGATAGGCCAGAATTTTTGAAAGACATTCAGCATAGTGTCCCATCCTGCATCATATGTACCTATGCAGCGTATTTTATTTTCCTCAGTCTTACGACCCCCATCTGTAATTAGGGTTTCCCGTTCAGTGTGGATTGCCCTCAGATAGGCTCTTTTTAGAACCCTATTTGGGTAACCTTTGGCCTTAAACATGTGACGCAGCTCATTTGCTTTTAATTTGAACTCCTCCATCGTGGAGCAGTTTCGTCGAAGTCTCAAATATTGGCCTATTGGGATACCGGATTTGAGTGATATGGGGTGATGACTAGACCAGCATAGCAGGTTATTTGAGGCTGTCTTCTTTCTGTACAAGGTTGTTTCAATTTTGCCTTCTTTAGATACCTGTAGTGCTAGATCTAGAAAGCAAAGGTTTTGACCCCCTACTTCACTAGTGAATCGTAAGTTAAAATCGTTGCTGTTCAGCAGACATACAAATTCTTTGAATCTCTCTGATGTATCAAGCCAAATCAAAAACACATCATCGATGTATCTTTTCCAATAGAAGATCTGATTAGTGTATGATTTCAGCTTAGGATCTGCCCTAATACACCTTTCCCACCAGCCTAGATGGAGATTGGCATATGAGGGCGCACAAGTCGTCCCCATAGCTGTACCAGTGGTCTGGTGGAAGATTTTGCCATTGAACAGAAAGATATTACGAGTCAAAATGAATTCAAGTAATTCCATTACAAAATTCACATAATGTTCAGGTAGGTCAGTTTCAAGATTTAATAGTTGACGGGTATGTTTAATACCTAGGTTATGAGGAATTGAGCTGTAAAGGGCCTCCACGTCAAGGCTACACAGGATAGCGTTTGGAGGTAAAGTAAGGTTGGTCAATAAATGCAACATTTGTTTAGTATCTCTAAGGAAAGATGGTAGCTTCTGTACTACTGGGGACAGAATCTTATCCACATAAATGCTTACATTCTGAGTTAGATTATCACAACCAGAAACTATCGGCCTACCGGTCGGATCGGTTAGTGATTTGTGCACTTTAGGCAAGCAATAAAAAGTAGATAGACATGGTTGTTTGGTGCACATAAATTCAAACTCATCCTGATTAATGAGTTGATGATTCACAGCCTTAGTAAGCATAGTTTTTAACTCAGCTTGGAACGCTTTTGTAGGATCTTTTGCTAGTATGCGGTAAGTATTTTTATCGGATAAAAGTCTTTCAGCTATACGAATGTAGTGGTCTCTGTCAAGTATCACCACATTGCCCCCTTTATCAGAGGGTTTGAAAATCAAATTTGTATAGCTCTGTAGTTTTTTCAGGGCTATTAGTTCCTGAGTATTAAGGTTGCCATTAGGGGATAGATAAAAATCATCCATTTTTGTCTTATCTATTTCCCTAGTAACCATTTCCAAAAATACCTCCAAATTTTTATAATCCTGAAAATGAGGGGTAAACTTACTCTTGGGTTTCAAATTAGTATGTGGTATATCAGATTGTATAGTACCATCTCCAGAGTTAAGTAATTCCACCAGAGTGTCTAAGCACTCTAAGTCATTTGGTGATAGACCCAAGCTTTGGGCCTTAGTTTCTTTACGTACTGCATGGTATTTATACAAGGCAAGCTTTCTCACAAAAAGGTTTACATCCTTAGTCCAGTTGAACTTGCTGAATGTTGGAATGGGTACGAATGAAAGACCCTTCTCCAATACGCTAAGTTCGGTCTGACCAAGGATGGTATCAGAGAGATTAATAATACGCAGAGAGGATACTATCATTCCCTGCGTCGTCTCTGACTTCTGCCCCTGTATCTGGTGTGCGGACCCTGAGTTAGATCCGCTTGTCTTAATCCTAAAAAATCCACCCCCTTTTTTAGAATACTTTTAGTTGGATTCCTAGGAATAGGGGTTTGAGGTTTTTCAGTTTCAGTATCGGTTGATTCGTACTCAGATGTACTGAATTGGTCAGAGTCTACTTTAGATCTCTTTTTAAAAGAACGGTAAATTCTACCTTGTTCAAAGTCCTTTATATCTCTCATATACTTCTGGTGTTTCCCCACTTTTATAATGTGAGAGAATTTGTCCAGATTGGATTTGAGTTTTATCTCTAGTGATTCAAATTGTGGTTCTACTTTAAAACCCTGGACCACCTCAATCTCTTTATCCAGTTCTAGTTGGACATTGGATAGTTTAATAGACTCATATTTACAAATAATACTCATGAACGTATTTGAGCATTTAGTAGCTGCCTCATCCCATTCTTTATAGAAGTCTTCCATCTCGACTTGTCTTGATGGAGAGGTCTGAACTCTTAGCCCTCTAGGGATGATATTTTTAGAGATGTATTTCTCGAGAGTGGAGACTTCCCAGCTTATCTTAATTTGTTGTTTAAAGAGTTTAGTAAGCTTATTAAAGCTGGTGTGAATATTAGGGGGAGACAGTGTATCTAGTGTACTTTCAGTACTGAACACAGAATCAGCGTCCACACACCATGTACTTGCGCTGGGTTTTTTAGACAGAAAGCCTGCCATTGTAGTTTGGAAAAAAGGTTATAAAAACAGATAATAGTAATGGTGGTGACCACACGGTGAGTAACACCAATATAATTAAATAACAAGAAAAAGGAAACTCAAAAGGCTGGAAAGTGGGAGGGGAGGAAAAGACACTCCCGTATCCCAATGCCGAGCCTCCAGAGTATAGAGGTCACCTGGACTGGTAAAAGGGGGTAACCCTGGAAATTGTAGAAAAAAGGAAGAAAAAAAACCCAAAAAGGGATGTCTTATATAAAGACCGCCCAGAGGGTAAATACCCAGTCCAATCTCAACAGTAGTGTAGTT